ACCTCCCTGGCAGCCCCCCCATCACACAGCCCCGTCTCGTCCCCCCCATCACCCCCCATTCCCCCACCAACCTCCATCCTCCGCTGTCACCCTCCCACCTTCCCCATCCTCCCCCCGTGCCCCCGACCCCGCTCCCCTGTGCCCGTGTGGGTGTCCCTGACAGCCGTGTCCCTGCAGGACTGTGCCCCCGGGTACACTCGCACCGGGGGGGGGCTGTACCTGGGGCACTGCGAGCTGTGCGAGTGCAACGGGCACTCCGAGAGCTGCCACCCCGAGAGCGGCGCCTGCTCCGTAAGCCCCGCGTCCGGCGCGGTTTGGGGGGGCCGTGGCCTTGTGCTGGCCCTGACCCCCCCTCTGTGCCACCCACGCCCAGGGATGTTTGCACAACACGGCCGGGGACTTCTGTGACCAGTGTGCCCCCGGGTTCTACGGGGACGCCACGGCCGGGACCCCCGAGGACTGCCAGCCCTGCGCCTGCCCCCTCCCGTACCCCGAGAACCAGTGGGTGCCAGCGCCGGGCCGGGGGGGTGCTGGGGGTGCTGGCAGGGGCCGTGCCCCCACCGTGCCGTGTCCCTGCAGGTTTTCCAGGACGTGTGAGAGTTTGGGAGGTGGCGGGTACCGCTGCACCGCCTGCGAGCCGGGCTACGCCGGGCAGTACTGCGAGCGGTGAGGCTGCTGGCACCCCAAAACACACCCCAGCCTACCCACCCCATGGGCTCACCCCCATATACACACCCCTATATACCTACCCTCAGAAATCAACCCCCATCAGCTCACCTCAACGTACCCACCCCTGTGTACCCCCCCCACATACCCACCCCCATGGGCTCACCCACATATACCCACCCCCATGGGCTCACCCACATATACCCACCCCCAAAAACCCACCCCCATATCCCTACCCCCATGGGCTCACCCCCATATCCCCACCCCCATGGGCTCACTCCCATATACCCACCCCCAAAACCCACCCCCATATACCCACTCCTATGGGGTCACCCCAACATACCCACCCCAAAAACCCAACACCAAACCCACCCCCATGATGTCACCCCCATATCCCCACCCTCATGGGCTCACTCCCATATACCCACCCCCAAAACCCACCCCCATGGGCTCACCCCAACATTTCCACCCCCA